GGGTCCACCCTGGACAGGTCAACAGTCCATCGCACGGCAACACCGAGACAAACAACCATTCACGCACACCTAAGGAGAATGCGGAGAATCCAATTAACCCAGCGGGCGGCAACCCAAAATGCTCAAAGAGCAATATTAGACCAAAAAAACAAAAATAAATCTGTCTGGAGCTGCAAAAATGTAAAAGTCTTATATATGCCTTGTATGGCAACATGGGCTCTAAGCGTTTTAGCCCGCTATAAAAACAAAAAAGGACTATGTAAGCTTAAATATATAATAATGATTCATGATTAAATGTTAATCTCGAGCAAATGTCATGTAGCATGAGGTGAGGGACGAGCAGACAAGCTCTCAGCCAAGTTTCATGTCAAAGGGATGGGAGAGAGAACAGGAAGAAGAGAGGGGGAAAGTGGTCCCTATGTCCTCCAGCAATCAAAGCCTATAGCAGCAAAACTATAAAGATGGCTTAGGGTAACATGAGCTATTCTAACTATCAGCTTTTTCAAAAAGGAAAGTTTTAAGCTTATTTTAAAAGTAGAAGGGATGTCTGCATCACAGACTAAAACAGTTTGATAAATGATGCTTGGTTGCTCTAATTTTAGCAGGAAACAAATCAGAGTTTAATTTCCAACTATCCTGACTTAAAACCTCTTCTTTTGAACCATACTGCCCGCACTCTGTCCTTCAGTTTTAGTTCTTAGGAAACCTTCATAGTTCTGATTTTTTTTCTTGCACATGCATCAAGGCAGTGATGATCCCTTCTGTGTCCCATTAGGTCGCCTGCACTGCCCGTCTTTAATCTGAGCCAGGGAAGAAGGGGCGAACATGGCAGCCAAAGCAGGAGACGACCCGGACAGCCTCATGACTCTGGCTACAGTCTTCTGCCTCAGGAATCTAAGGAAGACCATGTGCTACCAAGGATCCAGGAACAAGCTCTGCATGCGCTCCGACATCTTCCTACCGAGCGAAATCTGCGACAAACTCGTCAACACGTACGCAAACCTTTAGTCTTAATCAAAAACGGCGCTGTCTGTGTTTGTTGCATGTTTTTATCTTCTCTCCCCTCTCAGGTACATGGAGTTGGTCCATTCTGACAGTAGCTTTGAACCAGAGGAGAGCTTCTTCCAGCTCTTCTCAGACCCTCGGAGCACCAGAGTGAGCCGAGTGCAGCTGAGAGGAAACTTTGTACGGGACAGAGATCTGGAGGCCATACGGAAACAGGTGTCTAAATGCTGAGGAATACATTTTTCCGTTTACTGTTAAAGTCTGATGTGTATGCAGGCGTTAAAAGGCTCCTAAGTAGGGAATGAACCATGGATGATATGATGACACGATTTAAATAGTCACTATTATAGGACAGGCACTGATTCAAGTCTTTCTGGCTGATATTAGCTTCTCTTTACTTTAACTTCAGTCCCACATTTCATTTTATTTTTTGTGTATATTTTAACTTAACTGGTCCTGTGTCGCAGTGCA